CGAGGTGGCCTGGGCCGAGCTCTCCTGGGCCGAGCTGGCCTGGGCCGAGCTCGCCTGGGCCGCCCTCCCCGCCGCCGGCCTCACCGCGGGGCGCGGGTGCCGGGCGCGGCTGGAATTTTGTAAAACCTCCGCTCCGCCTGCTCCTTCGTGAGGCATCCCTCGCTAAAGAATAATAATGACGATGATACTCCTAGCGACCTAGTTTATTTTAAAATAGGTGATTCTTCCAGTGACTAATAAAATGATTTTGGGCAAATAAATTTTTCCCGGCCGAGAAGCCTATCTTTGACGACTGGAGCTTTTTCCTAGGATTACCTCCTGTGCCATAAAAGCTTAAATACTTGCCTTGGTCGCGCCAGCGGAGTTTCACTTTCGAGCTCGTTTGCCTTACCCACCTGCGCCGGTCAACGGCGAATAAAGTTTGCCGCAAGCATCTCGCTGCAAACCCCGTGATATTTCCTGTGGGAAGCGGGAGCCCGGAGTCCCCCGTCCCCGGAGGCTCCCCGGATTTTCGTTTTGGGCGGCGGTGCCCGGCGCCGGCCGAGGCCCCGGAGGCTGGGGCGCAGGTTTTCCTCCGGCCAGCCAGCCGCCGTTCATTGCTCTCCTCTTTAGAGCCGCTAAGGCAGGATCCAGAGTTAAGACAATCTTCCCGCTACTCTGTCTCTGTTCCAAAGATCGGCTGGGGAAGGGTAGCCAAGAGAAAATAGCGATGCCTTTTTGCGCCCAGAGAATTATGTTTTGAAACGCTTTGAGGAACTATTAATTGGGGGGGGGGGGAATCATATGATTGTCCTGGCAACCGCCAATGGGGAAAAACCCTCAAAAAAAAAAACCAACCCAAAAAACAACCCACAACAAAAAAACAACACCAAACAAACCCAGGTCTCTGAAATATAGACTAGACCGGCTGCCTCCATCCCTCCGACCGGAGCCACGGATCAGGAACGCGGAGGGAATATATGGGGGCGAAGACCCCCGGGGACTGATGCAGACAACCTGCCCGCCGAGGAAAGGCTGTCGAGGGAAGCGGACCCGCAGAAGCTGTTTGTTTGTTTGTTTGTTCTCTTTTATTCCCTGGAAGGGGGTTACTGCGAACCAGATGTGCCCCTGGGATGTGTCGTGCTGTCGACACATCCCGGGGAGCCCCCGGGGAGCGGGGCTGCGAGGCGCCGCCGTCTCGGGTGGGGAGGCGGCCGAAAGCACCCACGGGCGTGCTTTTGGCCGCCTCCCCAGCCGCGGCGGAGGCAGCAGCATCGCCCCTCTTCTCTCCCATCCCTGCCTTCCCCAGGGCTGCATCCCCTTCCACCGGGGCGGCTCGGGGTCGCCTCTGGCCTCCGTACGAGAGCAGCAGACCCAGCCGCAAGGCAGGAGAGGTCGGGGAGGACGGAGGGACGCCGGTCCTCCCACCTGCATCCCCTTCTCTGCTTGGGTACGGGGGCATGTGCCAAGGGGGAGAGGCAGAGCGGAGCAGGCTTCTGGGACGTGCGGGAAGCACCCAGGGAAATACAGCCCCTGTGTCACCTGGGTTGGTTTTTTTGTTGTTGTTGTCTCCCGCCCCCCCC